CTATGAAAAATCATGGTGTAACGGAAAGTTTTCAAAAATTAGAATAAAGTAAATGGATCAAGCCCTAAGCTAACATTAATTCTTGAACAAATCCTGTAAGACATTATTAAAGAGATGGTTCCTGAGCATTTAGGGGGAAAAGTAATGGTTGCTAAGACTGTTGTTTTTTTTTTTTAATCAAGAATAAGTATTGCCATTCTCACCTCTCACCTCAGTTACTTTTTTGACAGGATAACTAGACTGTTTAATAATAATAAAGATAATGATGATGATGATGGCTAGCACTTATAGAACATTTTAAGTTTTGACAAGCATTTTATATTTATTATTTCCTTTTATCCCCATAACAATCTTATGAGGTAGACATTGTTGCTATCTCCATTTTACAGTACAGGAAAATGAGTTTAAAATGATTTATCCAAAGTCTCAGAATAAGCAACAGTGCTGAAATTTTAATCCAGTTCCCCTGGCTCCAAATCTTTCTACTATCCAACATTGCTACTCTAGATCAGATGAAGGTTAAGTGATTTTTGAGGCTCTTTTCAAATCTTCCTCTGAAATTCCACTCTTTGGGTTCTAGATATCTAAAAGGTTCTAGTCCTTTGCTCTAGTCCTTGGATCTAATAAGCCAAAAAGCCAGGTATGGTTGAAAGAGGAGATGGTCAGAAGGGAACTGATATGTGGAGGGAAAAGAGGATGCTTAACCCGGGGCAGAGAGAGAACAGACATAGAGGGGCTGAGGCCCAATAGGAGAATTTCAGCTCCCTACATACATAATTCCTTTGTAACATTCTTGGTTATCTTTCCTTTTTTCTGGACTTTTTCCCTCCTTCCCCCACATCTCTTTCCTCATCTCACTTCTGTTCTACTCCATGTTAATTTGGAATCTAAACTTGGTATTCAATTGTGATTTCAGATTCCTCTTCTCACAATCCTCTAATACTTTCCCTCTCTTTATATCCATTCTCAAATGCCCACAAAGCCTTCATATTTATCCTATCCCTGGCTTCAATCAGTGAGGTTGTCCCTGGGTCAATCCATGACTTGTCTATGGGATGCCTCTGCCTTTTCTGGAGACTTAATAAAATAAAACCTAGTTCATCCTTACCCCTTCCAACTCAGAAAGGTGGAGTGACTTTCTACTGCCCACAGGAAAAAAAGTCTGGACTCCTTGGCCAAGTATACACAGTAATTCTATTTCCTGATACCCATATTTCTACCTAATATATCTTTATTTCCCTGTGTCAACCTCTTCACATAACTTTCAAACTCCAGCTTCTGAAATTACCTGCAGAATATCCTCCAACATTTCTGTCCTCCCTTCTCTTCTTCCAATGTGTTTCTATTCTTTTCAAATTCACTTTTCTCTAGAGAGGAACTTTGTTCATGTTCAAGACAAGAGATAGACTATATGACCTCTAAAGTGCCTTTCAAGTCTAAGATTCTATCATTATCTTCTAAACTTTCCATGACTGACCTCATTTTTGCAATCGATGTCTCAACAGCTAGTGTTTCCTCTGCATTGAAAACCTCAACACTCTGTATTTTATTGCTATGATGAGACTGATTAAGAAGACATTCTTTGGGAAAGAAATCAGAACTATGTGGGACCAAAAGGCGCCTTTGAATATCTTGTCAGATAGCTCTCTTATATTTCCTGCCAGACATTGAGCCCTCTCAGTCACCTGCCATAGCCCCAGTAATATCATTCCAAAGTCTGAACCCCCACCACCCCTACTTTACTTACCTCCTGTCTCTGGGATTCTGTCTCTTTCCTGATGGACTGATCTGTGCTCCCCTGGGATAGAACTCTTTTCTCTCCTACTTGGAATCCCACCCCAGACCACTCCACACTGTTATTCTTTGAGCTGAGTTGCCTATGGTCTCAGACTTTTATAGAGTCCTCAGTATTATCTTCAGAGAAATGGCATGTTCTGCTCTTAAAGGGCAGAAAAAGAAGAGAGGGCTCAGACAGGTAAGCATATAGAAGGTGGAGGAGGTGGTTATGGTTCTCAAAGGATTTTCTCCTTCAGGCCCGGTGGAAAACTTCAGGAATAGGCGTCTGAGGCAGAAGAGCTAATTCTGACTATTCCCAAATGTGAGTAATTGTCATAGCATCAAATGATTTCTGGCTTCTGAGGGAATTCTTGACTGGAAAAGAGCTCTTGTAGAGATGGCTGTGAATGCTTTGTATCATCAAAAGATGATACATCTGTCTTGCATAAATTACATGCCATGGGGCTGAAATAAATAGTGAAGCCTCAGGTGGGGTTATGGAGCCTCCTGAGGTGTAAAGGGAATGAAAGAGAAGATAATTCAGCAATTGTAATGGCTTAAGTTCAATTGAATTAGGGTCCATTGAATCAAGAGCAAAATTTATTATCAGCAGTTTGGGGGAGTCATGGGGTAAAACCACATGCTCACTAACACAACTAAAATCAATCAATCAACAAATATTCATTAAGCACGTACAATATGCTAGATATTGCACTAAGCTTGGGAAATCTAGAAGCAAAAGTGAATCTCCCTGTTCTCTGAAAGCTCCTGCATCATCAAAGGTAGAATTTGGGGGGATCAGGAATGACTTCATGTAGAAGGTGGTATTGAAATTGAGCTTTGAATAAAACAGGATTCTCAAAGTCAGAGGTGAGGAAGTTACATTTCCCAGGCACGCAGATGGTTTTGTAAGGCACAGAGAGATGGAACATGGAGAGTCCCGTATGAAGAAAAGCAAGAAGCTGAGTTTGGCCTGACAAGAGAGTGGGTAATGGATGGTCATGTATAAAGCTTGAAATTTCTGTGGGAGGCAGATTGTGCTGGACTTTGAATATCAGAGGAGGTTTTATTTGATCTTAGGGGTAATAGGGATCTATTAGCTGGCAGCTAGGTGGCACAGTGAATAGAGAACTGAGCCTGAAGTCAAGAAGACCTGAGTTTAAATTTGATCTCAGATACTTACTATCTATGTGACTTCGGGTAAGTCACTTAATCTTTATTTACTTCAGTTCCTCATTTGTAAAATGGGGACACACTGGAAAAGGAAATGACAAACCACTCCAGTATATTTGCTGAGTAAACCCCATGGATTCAATGGGGTCAAGAAGAGTTTGACATGACTAAATAACTGAACTACAATCATCTATCCAATATTGTTCCAGCAAAGGAGGAAAAGGTGTGGCAATCCTCTTTCCAACAGATCAATTCATCACCCTTGTATAACTCTAGACATTTCCTTTCTTGGCCACCACTCCCATGTATTTGTTTTTTCTCTTCCCACCCCCTTGCCAATAGAATAGAAATTGTTTGATATTAGAGATTGCCACTAATGCACTTAGGAGGTGCTTTATGGATGCTCTTTATCATTCATTCAGTCATTGATTCATTCATGCAGATGACTCCTAGATTTTATGTATACAACCATAGTCTTTCCTGAGCTCCAGTGATGTATCAACAACAGCTGATTGGACATTTCATACTGGATGTTTGTATAAATCTCAAACTTGACATGTATGAAACAGACCTCAAAATCTTTCCGCCCAAATCTGCCTCTCTTCCTAACTTCCCAATTTCTGTTAAGGGCCTGACCATCCTTCTAGACACCAAGGTTTGAAACCTCAAACCTTGACTCTTTACTCTGCTTCACCTTCATATCCAATCACCTGCCCAAGTCTACAACCACAACATCTCTTGCATCTATCCCCTTCTCTCTACCCACATGATCACCACTCCAGACCCAGCAGTCCATCCAGCACCATACCTAGCTGCCCATGCCCACTTTGTGCTAGTCACTGTGCTAAGCACTGGACATGCAAAGAAAGGAGAATATAGTCCTTGCCCTTAGAGAGCTCACAATCCATCATGCCCAACAAATATGTACAAATAAGTTATATATCAGGTAAATAGGAATGAATTGACAGAGAGAAGATACTGGACTTAAGAGAGATTGAGAACGGTTTCAGGTAGAAGGTAGGATTTTAGCCGGAATTTGAAGGAAGCCGGGAAACAGAAATGAGGAAGAAAATTCCAAGCATGGAAGACAAGCAGAGAAAATGTCCTGAGACATAGACTGTGTTGTCCTGGGAACAACGTGCAGGCTGTCTGACTGCTTGCCACAAACCAACACACACCAACTCCTGGACTTCCAAACAAGCAGAACTTTTTGTCTCCCTTGCATTGTTACTAGAGACTACCTTGTCTCCTGTTTTGACAGGGACAAGACATTGCTGCTAAATTACAATTTTCATGATCACCCTTCAGTACCCATCAGCACTACACAAAATACAAAATCAAGGAAAGTGTCTTAAGTGAAATTGTTCAATCACTTTTTGCTTTATTGGGACAATACACCAACAAACAAATTATGCATTAGAGGTTTTTTAATACAAGCCATTTGGGAATCATGCCTTTAAGCTGGCATGGCTATAATAAACTTGTCTGCAATTTGGCTCCTAAACTCCTTCTAAGGTTTGGACATTAGGCCTCTGCCTCATAGGGCATCTGTGTTTATACATGTATATATACATGCACACACATACTCTCTCTCTCTCTCTCACACACACACACACATGATGTGTGAGGCCAGATTTGAATGCTGGAAGATGAATCTTCCTTACTCAGGACTGGCACTCTCTACACTGTGCCATCCTGTTGCCCATATATGTATATAATGTGACAGTAATGGGTCAGCTTGGCTTTGCATGTAGAGTTCCTTCATTAAAGAATGCTTAGGGACAGAAACAGTCATTCTCACAAACACTACACACTGGTGGAGAGATGGACATAGCACCAACCTTTGTTCCTGGCACTGGGGGACTAGGAGAAAAGAGAGGCTTGACAGTGCCTTTGAGTGGCATGGGCTTCTTTCCACAGATGAGGGAACATTTGATAGCATGATAGAAAAGGAGAGTTCCAGTAAGATAATCCAGATTTATGCCAATTTAAGGCATAGGATTTTTACTTGCTGGTGTATTAATCGCAGGCAAAAATCAAGTCCCTTCTTCTCACCCCAAAGCCTGTTCATGGTCATCCCTGGGGTCCTCTATAGAGATCCCTAAGGCCCATTGAGATTGCTTACTCACATCCACCTCTTCGGAGAGTATGCCAGAGCTGAAGGCTTGTTGACCAATGACATCACAAAAGTGAGATTTTGCAGTACTCTTGGGCTGATCTGGACAGTCATCTCTAGGTGTCACACTCTTCAAATCTTCATATATAATGATGTAGGGACTGGCTGTTGTAGGATCCATGGTGATATTCACTGCAGAGAAGAAAGAGGAAAGTTAACATTTCTGAAAACCATGAAAAACTTTTCTTCTGAAAGACACTGAGAACTCCTTCTCTTCCCAGGGCTTGCTGGATACAGAAAACAAGAGCAGCCCTGTCTACACCTCCTCCTTAACTCCTTGGGTGTTCTAAATTCCTAATCAGATGTCTAACATCCAATTTGGCTCCTTTTTACAAACTACCTCCAAGGTTAGCACTGACACAATTACTGGAAATCTTCTCTAGGAATCTGCTCTAGAGTGCTCAAATTAAATTAGGATTTCTTGATTTTTCCACCTTCTCCCTCTTACTCTTAGAGTAGCCTGAATATTACTAGTTTGTGGATTTTTCTAGGCAACTTTTTTTTTTTAGGCAACTATGTGGCTCAATAGATAGATGACTGGACCTGGAGTCCGGAAGACCTGAGTTCAAATCCAGTGTCAAGCACTTACTGGCTTATGAGTCAGGGCAAGTGTCTTTGTCACTGTTTGCCTCAGTTTCCTCATCAACAGAAGGGGGATAACAATAGCACCTACCTCCTAGGATTTTTGGAAGGAAAAAATGAAATCATATTTGTAAAATGCTCAGCACATTTTGTCTGGCACATTTTATGCACTTTGTAAATGTTATCTATTATTTTTTCTAACTGACAGAATAACAGAGATTCTCTTAGGGGGCCAGAGTCTCTTGGACAAGCTAGCTAGAATACCCATTAAAATGTTCGTAAGCAAATGTCACCAACTCTAAGAGTTCAAGAACATGAGCAGAATGATGAATACAAATAATTAAGATGAATGTACAATATTCCTAAGAATTCCTGGCCCTGGGATAGGTAGAATATGGGGTCTGGGGGAAAGAGGAGGGACAGAGACAGCCTAGAATATAGTCCAACCCCTCATTAGTGCAGTTTCATCCAGATAGGTGATGATCTGTCCTCTAGTCTATGACAAGAAATGAGGAGCCCAAGAGATGGGTCACTAGGAATGATAGCCTGGAGCCGGTTGTTCATGTGATTGTTTGGCCTAGTGGATGACCCAAGGTGGCATACAGGAGCAAAGAACTGATTTCCTCTCACGTCTCTACCAACCAGGGGAGAGTACATCTCCCAATCCATCATGCTGGCAGTCTTTAGCCAAGGACCAGTTGCCTGGAACTAGCTTCAACTCTTGTAAATGGAAATTAGGGTTTGAGGTGAGGATTCTACCCATTTGGCCACCTGGAAAATCCCAGGTGTAGAATCACTGACAAAGGGCAGTTTCTTACCTCAGAATTTCTTTAGCATGTCCTTCATCCTAGTGACAGGATATTCTCTTAACTCAGGGGTGAAAGACTTAGGCCTTTCAGAAAGCAGTGGGTCACTCCTACAAAAAAGAAGGTCTCAGTTACTCCCTCTGCCCCATATCCACCCACCATGAAACAGCTGACAACATGATAATTCCAACCTCAGACAACAATATCTAGACTGCAAATGGAAAGTTACCTTTGCAGCATGTCTTTAACCTCCTGTGGGAAGAAAGGGGAAAGAAAGGTTGGTTAATCTATCAAAAAACTATTCATTTCTCTCTTTGTCAAATTTCTTTCATGGATTCTACTAGTTGCAACCCTTTAGCCAGCATCAAAACTTTAAAGAGTGAATGCTGGCCCATTTTGCCAAATGGAACAAAGGTGTAAGGTAAACTTGGACTCTGGTCACATGATCGACCTCAAAATGAAAGGCCCTTCTGAGTGGAGAATTGTGAGCAATGCCTGTGATGGCTCTAACCATGCTTGTGGCAAAAGGATAGAACCTCAAAAGTCCAAGGCCCCAAATGGAGCTGGATCCCCTTAGCATCTTGCCCATTGAATATAGCACCCGCCCATGGAAAGCTTCCCCAATTCCCACCTCAAGCAGCTCCAAATCAGGTTTGTATCCCTGTTTCACCCATCTTTTGGATGGCTTCTTTAGTGTTGTTGTTGTTTTATTATTTTTTTTTTACTTTTTGGAGAAAAGTTTCAAAGTAATTGTTCATTCATTAAACCCTCCCTTTCATCCTAGTTCACTCTTTTTAGACATTTAACTCTTCCTCAAATAGGAATTTCTGCATTCTCCAATATTCTGTTCTAATAGCATTTTCCACCTAACAGGATGTTTCTGTAAGATAAGGTTTATCAAGTAACATACAAAAGTCATTATCCTGCCCTGATCAAATCTCAAATTCCCTGCTTAATTTTTTTGTGGCCAAAGCTGGCTGTACTCGGGTATCTTCCTAGCTTTCCTCACATCAACAACCACCTTCATGAAAAAGAGCTGGCATTTTTTCTAACCACATCATGAATTAAATCATCTGTCCCATGGCACTGCCACCCACAGCAGTTAATGCTTCCTTCTCTCTGCCATGTCACCAAGCTTATTTCTCTATGGGATGCAACAATCTCCCTCCCAGATCCCTTTCTGCAACACATAATCTCCCCAGTCATGTATCCCTTAGGAGTCTAACCTCATTGATCTTATCCAACTGTGATCATTCTTCTTCTCCCTCTTCCCTCAGGGGGAATTTATACATGTATGTATGTACATATATCTAGGTATATAGGTACATATGTATGTATGTATATGTGTATAACTTGAACTATTTAAGTTTGCATTTCATTCTAAATAGATTTATAGTGTTTTGCATATGTAATTTGTCCATGGTCACTGGTCCTTCTCTGAGGATATTGCAAAATGTTCCCCAAAGAGTGTAATGAATTACACTTGAAATGGGCACTCCAAGAAACCAAAATAGAATGAGTGACATTAACTGACTGACTGACTGACTAATTAGGACTGACTACATATATCTTCATGAATTCTTCTAGGTAGGCTAGCAATTAGGGAGAGACAATCAAATGCTCACATCCTTCTCTGAAACAAGAAGTTTCAATTCCATGATCTCCTTACTAGAATAAAAAATGTCCTGTAGTTTCTCCTGTAGTCGATAAAGGAGTAGGAAGTCCCAAGGAACAAGTTAATGATTGATCTTAGATGGACAGCATGGGTGAGGTTCACAATGATGAATGTAATTACTTTGTGCAGTTTTTTTTTTGAGACATTTCCAATTTTTTAGAAGACATTGAGTAGAATCCATTTTGGGTATCTGGATTTAGCATCAAAGGAAAAATAATGAGAGAAATGGAAAAGATAGGGACTCCAAAGTGCAATCCTGTTTTTGTTTTTGTTCTTTTTTAATGTGTATGTCTGTTCTCTGCCAAACTTTTATCTGTATCATTGTTTCTCTTCACAAAACCTGACAGTCTTATTCAATATTCCTTTGAAGAAGGGAGCAAAGAACTACATAAAAGTTCTTGGTAGATTAGAAGGAGGTAGTTGGCCCAAGAGAGCCCCAAGCAGCAACCAAGTGTGAACTCTCTGCTTTATTTCAGCCTATTGATTTTGTAGATAACAAACCTCATTTATATTTAGATATCAAAAGTTACTGACTCATCAGTAAAGTCTGGAGCTAAGCCACTGAGGGCTCTGACTCCTGACTTCCAGTCCAGGGAGGAAGTTAGTCTCTTTTTACCCCTATTAGAATGTAAGATGTTGATCATCATTTAACCCCTTCCAAAGGCTCAAATGTATGTGTTTTCTAGTTCTCTCTCTCTCTCTCTCTCTCTCTCTCTCTCTCTCTCTCTCTCTTTCTCCCTCTCCCTGTCCCTGTCCCTCTCACAGTAAGGGTTAAGTGACTTGCCCAGGGTCACACAGCTAGTAAGTGTCTGAGGCTGGATTTGAACTCAGGTCCTTCTGACTTCACAACTGGTGCTCTAGCCACTGTGTCACCCAGCTGATGCAGTTCAGGGTTGCTGAGAACCCCAAAATGTCAGGGTACAAGTTGGTGTCTGCTTGGGATGAATTAACACACTCAAACCATCTTCCAGTCAAGGAGCAGTTTATTGTAACACCAATAGAAGTGGGCAAGGTACCTAGTGAATCTGCAACTTAATGGAGGTGAGACTGATGCTTATATATGAAAAGGACAGTCAAAGAATCTGGATGGGATTAAGGAGTGGTAAGTGCTCTGGTGTGGGCCATGTGTAATAGTGAAAGGAGTATTAAGTAGTCTGGAGTGGGCCAAGAGCTACAGTGAAAGAATATCAGGTAAGCTAATTAGGAGATCTACTTGGGCTGAGCTAGACCAGTTGGCTTGGCCCCAAGGCCAATGATCTATGCTGCTGAAATGTGTGGGAAAATTCAGGGACTGGATTGCTTTCAAAGACATGGTCTTTTCCTTTTAGGCATCCAGATGCCATCACCCATAACAGCTGCACCTAATTTCTAGGTGTCTCTTGACTCCTGTGTTTGTATTTAAAAGTTTCTACTCATCCTAGTCTATTCATGAATATTAATTGAAAGTGATCTATTCCATTAAAAATCAGTTTTTTTCCCAAAGATAGAATTACACACTTTTGCAGGGTAAGTTATTTTTTATTATAAGGTTTTATATTTGCCTTTTAAAATATGATAAAGATCTTCCCTCCTTTTAAAGTAGTTGCAGCTAAATATTGTGTATTTCTAACTATAAAAAGTGTATTTCCTTGGATCTTGAAAATTTTCTTTCAGGATACTTACAATATTTTTTTTAAATTTAATTTGTAAGTTCTGTATTATGGCTATGACATTCCTAGGAGTTTTTGTTTTGTGGTTTATTTTAGGAAGTGACCAAAGGATTCTTTAATTTTTCTTTTGTCTACATTTTCTAATATATAGGCAATTTTCTTTTATGATTTCCTGAAACACAGTGTTCTGGTTTTGCATTTAGTTATGTATTTCAGGGAGTCTGATGATTTTTAAATTATCTCTTCTTAACGTATGTGCCAGATATAGCAAATGTTTTGGGCAGCTACCTCAGATATTTTTCCATTTTTTTCAATGTGTTGCCTATGTTTTAATATTTCTTATTATCTCATGGACACATTAACTTTTGTTTGCTCCATTTTTTCAGGGAATCTACCACTTGGGAAAGTTTTTATTTTTACCTTCTATTCTGAGATATTTAATTCCCCTTTCAATTTCACAAGTTCTCCCGCATCATTTTTATCTCCTGCCTCATTTCTTCCAGCATTTTTTATAACTGGTGGCCAAGCTTGTTTTCCTCCGAGACTCTGCTTGTACTTATTGTGGTTTATTTCCTTATTCTGTGTTTACCTCTTGATCATGTCTCAATCCATTATTCATGGTGTTTTATGTTTTTTTTCTATTTACTGATATTTTTGGCCTCAGTTCTTGTTTTGGGATCTTGTGTTTGGACCAGTGCCTTTCAATCCTTTTGGACTTGTTGAATAGGGCCCTGTTTGCCCCTGTCTCTTTTGTTGTCTGGTTATCACTGTTGTCCCCAATCTAGATGAAAGACTGGTATTCATACATACATTATGTTATAGAGACAGCAGAAGACAGATTAAACAATGAAGTAATTACAACATTTATGTGGTAGGAGCCTATACATGTTCCATTTGTTGGGGAGACAATTATGGGGGTTTCTATTAAGATTTCTATTTTCATCCTGAATGTAGTGTGGCAAAGGCATCAGGTTAAGTGTCCAAGACCCATCTTGGTTATTCACTCCCATCTTTCTGTCCTGGGTAGATGGCCAGCGTATCCCTCCTGCACAGACACTTTGCCATTTTGTCCCGGATCTCTTTCGTCTTAATTCCATAGATAATAGGGTTGAACAAGGAGGGCATGAGTAGGTATAAATTAGCGAGAAGGATGTGTACATGAGGAGGGATAATGGGTCCTATGCGGTGGGCAAGGAAGGAGAAAAGTGCAGGTACATAGCTGATGAGGATTACAAAGAAGTGGGCTGAACAGGTATTGAGTGTCTTTAGAGTGGCATCTCGGGATGAGAGGCGCAACACAGCATGTAGGATCAGCACATAGGAGACTCCAATAAGCAGGAGGTCCAGCCCTAACACCATGAGAAATACAAACACTCCATAGACACGGTTGGGCTTGGTATGACTACAAGCCATCTTCACAACAGCCATATGGTCACAGTAGGTATGAGGAATGCCTGTCCTGCAGAAGGTCAGCCTCTGGAGCAGTAATGGCATGGGCAAGATGAGAACTACTCCTTTGGCAAGGGCTGCCAGGGCTAGCTTCACAGCCAGGGTGTGGTTCAGGATGGTACTATAACGGAGTGG